ACTGCCTGCAGTAACATGTTGTGTACCCGACTTTCTACAACAAGGTTAACATCACGGCAGCGCAAAATGTGGCCCAGATTTGCGTATATCGCTATGACTTTCGATACACCAGTGGAAATATAATCAGTGATATCTCCACCAGCACCCACACAACTATACACGTACACAAATATTCGACAACTACCAACAATGACCTCTTAGGGTAGGTGTAGGTATAAGCTCCTGCTAATCTTGTGGAAGCACTTGGCACTATGACGACGCGAAGCACACACTATGCCCACAGATACTGATCTCTAACTTAATGTGAGCGATTTGAGTAACCACATGCTTTCTCCTCACAGTAAGACAATATCACCCACACACTCAATTTCGAAGTCTTTCACTTGATAGTAGGTCTATACCATCAAAACACACTATGAGAACTATCTGGAGGTCATGGACAGTAAAAGTACAAATGAACGGTGGGAATAGGAAGCCATGTTCAACTCCTTGATTAGTTTCGAAAAAAGGAGAGAGACGGCTATGAGCCTTCACTATATCTGAATTGTTGAAGTGTAACCTACAGTTCTTACCTTTGTCTCCTCCATTCCGTTCACTTCCTGATACCAATATTAATCCTTTTATAACTTCTTCAACCTCTCATTCTGCGACCATTGCCAGAAATACAAGCAATTGAAACTTCATTCTTAGTCTCCTAAGACTCCTCTGCCGACTTCATATTGGAGCTATCAACTTCTGAACTCTATAATAAATCGGACAACAGGCATCTCTTGCCAAAACTACAGCCTCGAGTTATGGGTGTATGCTGTATTTTCCAGACACCTTTACAGGAATCAAGTGTGCTTATTCACTTGACGTCACACGGTCAGTGAAGTGAATCTTCGAAATTTATTGTACCAGTGTCCGGAGATTCAATGGTTGACTCTTGTGGATTCGTTGGTGTAGGCAAACATTGATTTGTAGGGCAGAAAGTGCACTTCTCGACTGGAAACCAGTAGACAGATATCTGTGCGCTATTCGACTGAATGGATCTGTGAGAAGTGGAGAAGAGTCTTTGTAATGATTGACAGCAGTGATCAGTGGCGAAAGCCAAAGAGATGGAGAAGGTATCACCACTAGCTGACACTCAGCAATTAATTTGGCTCATTAAAAATAATGACAGAAGGTCATGCTTAATCACCTTGCAAAATAGGTGGCCATAAAATAATACGGATCGCTTTAAAGCATAGTTCAAACGGCCCACACCAACGCTTCAGTTGCAAAGCATCTTGCCCGAACCTGAATGGGATGCTGATGTTGATGATCAAACTCTCCTTGAATTGAGTAAGACAGTTTCAAACCTGAAACTATGCAAAGGAGCAAGGCCTGATGGATTGGCATTAGAGATTTTAAGGATAGAGGTAGAATTACCGAGTAAAGTAACGGAGGTACTAAGTGGTGTATGGAAATCAGAGGTAGTCCTGTCATACTGGTCTACTTCACTCATCATTCCAGTTTATGAGAAGAGAGAGAAGTCTCCCTGTGACAACCATACGAGACATTTCAACTAGCATCTTACCGAAGATCATGGGATCCGTAGTTATACAATGCCTAAACACAGTTAGCAAACAAAACACTTGGGAAAACCAGACAAGCTTCAAACCCGTACAACAGCTCACCGATCAAATATTCACCCTCCGACAGATTCTGGAACACGGGATACCTACCAGCCAGTGACCGACACTTGACACATTTCTTGACCTGAAGGCACGTTCGACACTGTCGACCGAGAAGTGTTTTGGCTGTCTGGGTGGAAAGAGTACCCAGCAAGGATCTTTGCAGCATTGCTCATTTTTAGTGAAATCACCATGAAAGCAATGTCTGGGCTCGATGAAGCTTACTAAGCAAAGAAGGCAAGTTTGTGAACCACAACCGACTGTGACGGCTTCAACATTTGTTGTGCATAACCAGCCACCACATACCTCAACGTGCGGTATTAGCAAAAGTAGGACTGGGTTGGGAGAGGGCTCAAGGTGATTAGACTCAAACGCAGCACCAGTCGATATAGTCTCTAACAGTTGATCTGAGCCGTGTGAGTAGGTGTCGACTGGCTGGCTAGCTCGGGTTATTGAGATAACGTGAATTAATGGCTGGAGATCCTTAGTGACATGGCTTGAAATCGATCACAATGGAATAGATGTATTCCCTTATTTTCAGCATCGAAAGTTTGGATATTCTCACTAACCCTCCATCTACTTTCGACTTCTCTTAAATTGCCTTTTTCCTACCTACTTGTTCTTTGGATACCAATATGACATGATGCAGTTTCCTGGGGAGTTTTCTGTTGATTTCATCTGCTTGTTTGTCTGAAGTGTAGGGCTTTCAAGACGTTAATAAACTTTCCCAAGACATCTCTCTATAACAGGTAATTCCAAATAACAGCCTTGTAACTTGAAATTCATATCACACGACCAGATGTCCACTAGGCTAAAGAATAATTCCACTTTCTTTCTGCCTGCATACAATGACTTTATTACTTTCAGCAACACCTCGCACCCTAAATATTTTCTCAAATGCCAATGTACATATTCAGCAAAATGTTTTTTTTTACTTTATAATAACTAAGGACGGGACTTCAGGTGAATATAGAGAAGACAGAAGTGATGAAGATACCGCACCACCACCACCAACAACAACAACAAACTCCAGTCACCATCAACGGGAGGAACTTAAAGGAAGTAACCTCCTTCACCTACCTAGGAAGCACTGTTTCAACTACAGGTGGCACAGACGAGGACGTCAAAGTCAGAATCGGAAAGACAGCAAGACAGACGTTCATTAACCTGAAACCAGTGTGGAGATCTGCACTGCACTCAGCATGTGGAACAAGATGCAGATTTTCAACACCAACGTCAAGTCAGTGCTCCTGTATGGTTGGGAGACTTGGCGCGTTGCGAAAGGCATTTCCAACAAACTTCAGACATTCATCAACAACTGCTGCCTACACTGGCTCCTCACTGAAGATCAGATGAGATGGTGAGGAAGAATAAGCAACAAGGAACTCTGGGAACGAACCAACCAAGAAGCTATCAGCCAACAAATAAGCACTGGAAGGAAGTGGAGATGGATTGGGTCGGGCATACACTGAGAAGGCCGACTGGGGACATCACGCGTTAGGCCAGTTGCTCGAGTGGAATCCCCATGGGAAGCGACGAGTTGGGCGTCGGTGGCGATGGTGACATGGAGGAGATCGTGTGAGGAGGAAATGAGAGCTTGTGGGCTATCGTGGAGCCAGGTTGAAAAGATTTCAGAGAACAGAGTTCACTGGAGACGTGCTAGTGAAGCCCTATGTTCCATTAGGAACCCAAGGGACTAATAATAATGATAATAATAATAACTAAGGAGAGTATATGATAAGTGGAAGTTTAAGGAAAATGATTCAATCGAATCAGATGCTTCAAAAGTTACAGTTTGACTGAAGAAAAATAATTATTTTAGAATGATCTGTGAAATTTCATTGTGGCGTTTCTTTGAAAATCATACTACTCATATTGTAACGTGGCTCAATTAACACATAAATTGGAATTAAGATTGCTACGTGAGGTATTATTATCATTATTATTATTATTATTATTATTATTATTATTATTATTATTATTATTATTATTATTATTATTAGAACACATACATCGTACAGTAAGGCCACCAAGAAATCCGCCACACAAAATAATATAACAACATTATGAAGGCAAGCGAATAAGTTAAAAAGGAAAACACAATAAGAATAGAATGATTAGAAGAGCATTCCATTGAGGTTAATTAAGAATGAAACATTCACTACTTTACAGTAGGAGAAGACAGAAGGAAGCTACAGCATGAGTGCCACTCGTTTCCATTCTGACCCATATGTGATAACGTCTCAACCCACTGAATTGCCTGATCTCTCGGATCACACCCAGAGAGTCGAAAAGCACCAAGAGATGCTAACTCGATACAATTTTCCCTCATCCCACGGCGCCATTTCATACACTGACCACCACTTCGCTTTTTTCAGCCAATTCCAGGCTTAGCAAACAATGAACGGTAAGGAAGCCGGTGTTTCCAGATGACTTCATTTATTGAGTGACCATCTCCATCTCCTGAGCAATCCTACGGAGATAACGATGATTCAACACACAGAGTCGTCGCATATCCTCAGCTCGGAGAGGTCAGGTTTCACAGGTGTACAGCAGAACTGCTTGCACCGAAGCCTTGGTGGTGGTGGTCCACACTGACATATGCCACTCGGGCTTTCAATATGCGGTTGGAAATTTCACCACACACCCCACCAGCACTCAAGCAACTATCCAGATAGACAAACAACTTTTTGACTACTTCCAACGGCTCATCACCAAAGGTGAGATCAGGCACAGGCTACTGCCAATCTTGTAAGAGTACTTTGCACTTCGATGCTGCAAGGCACATATCATACTTAAGGACACTTTTGTGATGTGTACTACTATTTGACGAGTGGCTACAAATTAATCATGACAAACAGCAGGTTATCTATATGCTGAAGGACCAACCAAGGTTTGAGTTGTCACGCAGTATGACTAGTGTTAGCATAACAATTGTAGCTAATTGTCTAGTTTATGAACATCTACGCGGTCGTTGAGTTGGATTACACTAACCTTTCATCAGACGTTCATGGAAAGCAAGAAAAGGTCCTGGATTACTTTATAAGCCTTATCAAGCTGTAGTGCTCCAGACTCTTTCTCGAGTTAAGACACTGTAAATACGAAATAATTTATTACAACTAATCTTGAACAAGTACTCATACCGAGTTATAACAAAAAATGAGTGGGGCAAGAACTAGAAACACGTACACCGAGACTTGATATTGCCAGTCATTGGTTACCTAAGCTTTAGTTAATACAACTAGGAAACGAGAAAACATCTTGAGAGTAACAACCAAATCATATTTCAGCTATTATTAGTGTATAAAGAGTTAAGATAAAAAACTAATACACCGAGGAACTTACTTGCTCGACATCTGCTCCATGAACATCGATGAGGTACTCAGCGACACCTAAGTGACCTGAATGACAAATAAATTATATTACCATATAAAATAATAAAGATATACATACCATTTCTGCAAGCAACAATCAGACAAGTTTGACCATCAAGTGAATTTTTGTGAACCACCTGACCTACAGAATGTGCACATTCTTTCAATGCCTTTAAATCACCAGATATACAGTAATTGAAGATATTTTGTTCAGTAACCAATCTATTTTCCTTTTTAGATACAGTTGCCATGAAATTATTCAAACTTCACGTTTATTAACTTTGTTTAGGTACTATGTGATATGAAAAAGGGGTTAAAAAGGTGGAGATTAATATAATTATATAGCTTTTTACAAAGGAGATGATAAGTAGCTGTTTTATATGAACTATCTATGAAGTTATTCAGTGGAAAAGTGTATACGACATCATATCGATATATTGTGCGACAATGACAGTCTTTAAATTGATACCCTCGCCACAATTCTACAAAACAAATGTTCGCCTACATGAAAAACTAATAACAACTGGCTACAATCACGAAGCCTTCGTAACAACGGTGGGGGTGAAAAAAAATGGTGGTGAATAAGAAAGAGGTGGAAAAGGGAACAACACTCTTGTGACTATAGCTAACACCTGTTTGGGTTAACTAAGGAGTAAGCTTAAAAAGTGATGTTCACTGAGACTGCAGTCAAGTAGGATAGGTTTTCGATGAACTCTGGAGATAGATGAACGCAGCATTTGGTAGGAAATACAAAGAAACAGCTTGACTGGTTTAAAACTAAAAGTAATGGGCATACTGTATTCAGACAACCTGAATTGGAAATATCGGTGTTCCAAATCATAATCCAGACAGGAAGGCTGTTGAGATCCCAAAATATGGGGAACAACGACTAGATACTAAGTGCCAAAAACTTTCAAGGATGGTGGTTAAGAACCTCAGGTTAAACTAAAGTAGTAGCTCAGTTAACATAACACATACAGAATGCAGCCAGGCTTATAAATCGAAGATTTATTTCAAAGAAAAGAAATTCCCCTGCAATAAACGAAGACGGGTCGGTTTTGCTGATTCAGCATCTAAGATTCTACAGTCTATAATGATTTGAAGCTTAACCTCAGTAAGGAGAAAAAACCCTAAGAGATGAGGATTTCATGCTCAGTTAAAGCGGAGTCAAGCAGGTCCCTAAACTCCACCAAATGCTGCATAGGTATACTAACTGACGTGAAAAGGCTATTAAACCGTTAATCAAGAGTATCCAGTACATAATACAAAAATACGATGGAAATTCGAAAGGAAAAGTGCATCATTTCAATCTACTTCAGAAGGCTTTCTGTCACTACCCATATAATTGTGTAGGAATATATGGAGAGTAATCAGCTGGGAGATATCGAGGAACATCCCTGAAGAAACCTGTGTGGAAGAACACTGGAACTCTTTGAAAGAGAAGTAGAAAGAAACATGCATAACCGTATTAGGAAGGAAGAAGAAAGAAGATAAGGAATGGATGTCGATGGACGGTATCTGCATCCTCAGTGTCCGCCATCTTTAATAACATCTATCTACTTTGATCATGCTCGTTACTGAAGATCAGATGGCCAGAATAATAAGAATAAGCAACAAGGAACTCTGGTTGGCTGTCAACAAACCAACCAACAACCTATCGCTGAACAAATATGCACTGGAAGGAAGTGGAGATGGATTGGGCATACACTGATAAGACTATTCGGGGACATCACGCGTCAAGCCAGTTGCTCGAGTGGAATCCCCATAGGAAGCGACGAGTTGGGCGTCCGAGGGTGACATGAAGGAGATCATGTGAGGAAATGAGAGCTTGTGGGCAGTCGTGGAGCCAGGTTCAAAAGATTTCAGAGAAGAGAGTGCAATGGAGACGTGCTACTGAATCCCTATGTTCCATTAGGAACCCAAGGGACATAAAAATAAATATATAAATCATCTGGGCGTACCTACGACCATTGATGTCTACTCAGCTCATCCTGTCACAAACACGCCTAACTGATCTGATGTATGGAAACGAAAGGTGTCTGAGCAATATCCTCAAATATATAGTGTAACGAACACTCAACTCCATACTAAGGTTCCTCATCTACCAAATACAAGACTACTTTATTGATTTACTTAATTACAAACCCCGAACATATGCACCAAGATATGGGCTAAGAATGTAAAGTTGGTTTTTAAAGACTAACACCTTATACTAGCGCAATTTAAGCACGAGTAATGAGGCGGCAAAATGGAATGAACAGATTAGGAAATCGAAAGAAGTTCTGCTGGGTTGATTTTTTAGCGAATGACACAAGAGGCCCATTTATCATTTGATAGTGCACATTACCAAAGGATATATATATATATATATATTATAATATATATATATATATATATATATATAATATATATATATATATATATATATAATTTGTCCCTTGGATTCGTAATAAAACATAGGGCTTCAGTAGCATGTCTTCATTGCACTCTCTTCTCTGAGATCTTTTGAACCTGGCTCCAAGACTGCCCACAAGCTCTCATTTCCTCCTCACACGATCTCCTCCATGTCACCATCGGACGCCCAACTCGTCGCTTCCTATGGGGATTCCACTCGAGCAACTAGCCTAACGCGTGATGTCCCCAGTCGGCCTTCTCAGTGTGTGCCCGACCCAATCCATCTCCATTTCCTTCCAGTGCTTATTTGTTGGCTGATAGCTTCTTGGTTGGTTCGTTCCCAGAGTTCCTTGTTGCTTATTCTTTCTCACCATCTCATCTGATTTTCAGTGAGGAGCCAGTGTAGGCAGCAGTTGTTGATGAATGTCTGTAGTTTATTGGAAATCCCTTTTGTAACGCGCCAAGTCTCTGAGCCATACAGAAGCACTGACTTGACGTTGGTGTTGAAAATCTGCATCTTGTTCCACATGCTGAGTGCAGTGCAGATCTCCACACTGGTTTCAGGTTAATGAACGTCTGTCTTGCTGTCTTTCCGATTCTGACTTTGACGTCCTCGTCTGCGCCACCTGTAGCTGAAACAGTGCTGCCGCATTTCAGTAGCTTTATGGAGCTCAGGGCTTCGACTTTCGTCGGAAGATTTATGTTCACTTGTAGTTCTGTGACTGGGCTGCAGGTGGTATTTCTGGACCAAGTGCAGATGGTGGTCGATTCAAGAGCTTCTTGAAGTGGTTGACCCATCGTTTGCTTTGTTACTTTTCTTTGGTAATTAAGTCTCCTTCATCATCTTTTTTTGGTTTCATCTGTGTTGATCTCTTCCCTCCCAGATAGTAACCTGGTTATTTGATACAATGTCGTCAGGTCTCTCTTACCAGCCAGCAGCCTGTTCTGCTTCACCTGCCAGTGTTTCATAGAAATGTCTTTTGTCTTCCCGTGCACTCTTCTTCACTTCCTTGTCCAGTGTTTTATACATTGTACTCAGTTCCTCCTCTCGTTATGCATCCTTGCACTGGTTTATCTTCTGCTTCACCATCCTCCTCTCCCTCATCTATCAGCTTCCATGTGTCCGTCGAGATCCACACCTTATCTTCTTTCTTCTTCATTCCTAATACAGTTGTGCAGGTTTGTTCCACATAGCTTTCAAAGTATCCCAGTGTTCTTCCACACAGGTTTCTTCAGGGATGTTCCTCGATATCCCCCATTTTGTCTTGATGGCTGCCGTGAAGATGTCCTTTGTAGTTTCGTCCTTCAGTTTCTGAGTGTTGTACTTGAACTGTGGTCTATCACCAGCTTCCTTGAAGGCTTTCAACTTGATTTGGAAGGTTCTTTGCACTATATATATATATATATATATATATATATATATATATATATATATATATATATATATATATATATATATATATATATATAATTAAAAAGCGAGTTTACTGAGCGAATCTGCTATCGACCAGTTCACGGCTGAGGTGTAACTATCTAGTAGTTAGGTATTTGGGCATAAAATTTTAAACGGGTAGAATAAATCAGTGAAGCCATAGGTTGACATGTGCTACACGGCGCTGTATAACAAATGAGTTGTGAAGATTTTAAGCGAAAACATGAAGGTTTACCATATATTCCCACAATGCAATATGCAATATAATAATGGAACTTAACCCGATTCCGGTGCTTATTAACTACCCTATAAACCAGTACATTTTTTGTGACAGATTTTGATACTACTCAGTTGTTTACGCTCATTAGTCGGAGGTCAGGTACTTAAGACTGTGTGCCACACTTCCACACGTGTGTAGAAAAATATTTCTGCAATAACCTGCGCTGAATACTTGTGCAACAAGGAGGAGTAAAGATCCTATTAACTTTGTAGGTTTCTTCAGTTCTGAATGTTGGTGAAATTTGATACCAATATGCCGATGAAGGAGGTGAGTACATACTGCAGCAGTGCTTCTAAAGTTACCAAATAGATATACAACATAAGAAACATGTGTATCTGATGATATGCTGTAGTAGTTGTTTGTTCACAATGTCGAATATTAACACAATGGTTCTCATATCAAGATTGACTATACCTAATACAAACAGTAGAGACAGTTCATAACGCAGTACACTAACAGCTGCGCAAAAAATACTATTATTGTCACTTTCAATCCATCATTATCATAATCAAAATCAACTTAGGACCAGGAACTATTAGTAACGGTACAAGTTGACACACCGCATATCACCACATCAAGTACAAAGGGAATAAAATGGAAGATGAAGATAATACGTGTATACATCCGCGCCAGTGACACCGGTCCTGAGCCATGTCACTTAGAGTCTCTAACCGCTGGTTTCTCATGTCCCGTAGACCCCAACCGACTAGTCTGCATCGCCTTACATGGCTCATACAACGAGGCAAACGGTAGCTGGGCATACGCAACATGCCCCAGCCATCTCAGTCGATGAAGGTTTACGACCGCACCAACTGACTTACCTCTCCTCCATAAAACTATACGCCTGACTTTTGAGTTACATAGTGGTACCACAACATAACATCTATCCTACGAAGGCAGTGACGATCAAACACCAGAAACCTCATATCTTCTACTTTCAATAGGCATGTTTTACATATACAGAGTGGAATAAAGCGGACTGCATCACAGTACACTCGACTCTTCATAAGCAAACAGATATTGTGAGGGTGACACAGATGGCGTAAGTTGGCAAAAGCCAATCGAGTCTTTTGTATCCGTGCAAAGATTTCGTCGGCCACTGACCAACGTTCTAGGGCTAATCCGACTTTCGAAGTAACTGAAGT